CAGGCAGCTTAAAGGGAACTCAGGTTACACATTTCTCCCCTCTGTGGGTCCTCCAAAGGCTAAGAAGATTTGAGCTCTGACTGAAGCTTTCCCCCGTCAGAATAACTGAATGGTTTTCTCCCCTCTGTGGACTGTCTAATCTTTAACAAAGTCTGACCTGTGTTTGAAGCCTTTTCTGCAATCAGAGCTTTTATAAGGCAACTCTCTTGTATGTATTCTGATGGCTAGTAATGCAGGAGCACTGACTGAAGCTTTTCCCGCAGTCAGAGCAATTGAAAAGGTTCTTTCCTGTGTGGGTCCTCTTATGGTATAAAAGGCTTGCACGGTGACTGAAGCTTTTCCCGCAGTCAGAACAATTTAAAGATTTCTCTCCTGTGTGGATCCTCCTATGGTCAAAAAGGCTTGCGCGGTTTAACCTTTAACTTCAGCATGCAATTAGCAAGATGTGATAAGCTCCTGCTGGCACCATCCACTGCTTCCTCCCCAAATTAAGGGCCCACTTCCTTCCACTGAGAGAGACTATACAGCCTTCAATCTGGAGGCTATCTTTACAGCCGCTTAGCCAGAAGGGCCTATTTGTGTATCTTGAGGCATTTATTATTCTTTCAGAAGATTAAAAAACTGACTTTTAGCACTTTCACTTCTTGCTGCTTAGAAAAGGAAGCCACAATGGGAACTGAACTTAGTTTTTCCAAGGGCAGTGTATCATGCTCACAGAAAACTACAAATTCCTGATATCAAGCAACAGCCTTGAAAGCACACGCAAAATTCCTGTGTGGCTCCTCCAATGGGTAATCAGTTGAAGCTTTTCCCACAGTCAGAGCAGTAGAAGGGTTTTTCCCCTGTGTGGGTCCTCCTATGTCTAACAAGGTGTGAAATCTGACTGAAGCTTTTCTCGCAGTCAGAGCAATTGAAAGGTTTCTCCCCTGTGTGGCTCCTCCTATGGGTAACAAGGTGTGAGCTGCTACTGAAGTTTTTCCCGCAGTCAGAGCAATTGAAGGGTTTCTCTCCTGTGTGGCTCTTCCTATGGGTAACAAGGTTTGACTTCTGACTGAAGCTTTTCCCACAGGCAGAGCAATTGAAAGGCTTTTCTCCTGTGTGAGCCATCCTATGGATAACAAAGTGTGAGTTTGTACTGAAGTTTTTCCCACAGTCAGAGCAATTATGGGATGTGTCTCTTGTATGTATTTTCTGATGGTTTGTAAAGTGTGAGTGCTCACTGAAGCTTTTCCCAGAGTCAGAGCACTTGAAGGGCTTCTCTCCCGTATGGACCCTTTGATGTTCAGGAAGAGTTTCACAGTCACTACACGTGCAGGGTGACTGCTGATGGGGGATTTCCTGTTGGACGGTTTCTGTATTTCTTTTCTCCTGTGTGCTCCTGGAGGTACCCTGTCCCTCTCCTAGATGATTTCCCTGCTGCTTTTCTGGGCTATGCTGACTCTCACAGCTCTCTCCTTGCTCACGTATCTGGAAAACATGTCCTTCAGATCGTCTCAATAATAGTCCACATGGAGACACTTGCTCCAGTCCTTCATGCTGAAGACTCTTTTCATGGTTCTCAGTCAGTGTCCCATCACCTGTTGGAATAGAGGAATGATCCAGACAGGAGTTATTCTCCACGATGAACTGCAAGGAAACTCTAAAAGCGGAATAGAAAAGGGGACACACGCTCAAATAATGGTCAAATTATCATGAGCTGAGTTGGTTGTCCTCCTTCACAACCCTTCCACAGAGAAGAGAACCCAGCCTTTCCTCGCCCACCATACTCTGACTGGAGTTGAATACAAGCTGAACAGTCAGTCAGACTTCATGAAAACACACAAGTTACATCTGCTATAAGGAGACAGAAATTGGTTTCTGAGTCAGTTTAACTGATTGCTCACCTGTCCAGGTGTTGCTGATGATCTCCCCTTCCTCACAGCTCGGAGGATCTGGGACCTGCAACTCCTCCTCTCGCTCCACCCAGGAGATCACATCAGTTTCGGAGACTGGAAATCCTGTTTGGAGAGCAATGAACCAAGTGCTGATCTTGTTCATTAAGGTCTTTGCCATTACTGCTTCCAGAGCCAGGATCCGAGTCACCCACCCAGAGAGGCTCCTTTCCCCACCTTGCAGAGACTGGGCTCTGGCTGGTACAAGATCCCAGGACACACTCACCTGCAGTAAAGATGCAGCACTCCCCCACCTTGGGAATGGCCCAGCTCATTCCCCAGGACAGCTAAGCACTCTGCTGCACTCTCTAGAGTACAGCTCAGCCCCCCTCACAGCCCGTTCCATCCTCCTGGAATCCCACAGCTGGACAGGAACACACTGCTCAGAAGGGGAGCTCTAGTGAGGGCATGAAGGTGTGACACCAAGGTCCCCAGGTAGGGCTCAGACAGCAGCTGCCACATGGCAGGTCACTAGAACTTGGAGATGAAGGACCCCGCAGATGTCTAGCTCCCCAAGCTCTGCCCACAAAACCCCTGGCTGGTGGGCTGGGCTTGCCCTGATCTTTGGCTCAGATGTTCTACTCGGGCCAGGAGGAGGCAGAGGAAGTTGCCTGAGCATCTAAGTGAATCCTTGGCTGGTTGCTTCACGCCCTGCCTGTGCGCCACACTCCTGATCCCAACTGCCTGTGTCTGGGTGGGCCCTGCCAGCTGTCCACAACAGTTGCCATTCCCCTGGCTGCCCAGGATGACGCTGGGCTTCTGTTGGGGCAAGCCAGGGCGGAGCTGGGCCGTGCTGCTTCTCTGGTGCTTGTAGCTGTTGCTCAGCTCCCCTTATGCAGCCTCCGTTCTACTCTGCCAGCAGCAGCCTTTGTGTAGTTTCCCAGTCTGGCTCTTCTGGCCAGCCTGGCCTTTGATTTGGTGCCCCTCCAGGATTGCACAGAATCTATCACCTTCACACCTTGTGAGTACGTTTCCCTCAGCTTTGGCCCCACCCCTTCTTGGAACTTCATTTTCTGTTCAGAAGATCCACCTGTGACAAGACCATGGGGATCATTGTGCTACTGCTGTTAAATAAAATAATCATAGTCATCACATCAGAACATTCCCATTGACATGGCACTCAGCACACTTCACAAAAGGTTTATTGCAGCTGTGTATGTCCATTCTTTTTGAACTAGAACAGGCTGGGCTTTGGCAGAATGGTGGAACACTGGGTACCAACTAATCAGGAAAGCACATTCCTGAGCAGGAAGAGGCCAATCAACACACAGATCTCCACAGTAGCTGCAAACACAGTCCTAAGAGATGGCTCAGAAAGACACCGACCCTTGTGCAAAAGAGCGGGATGAAGGGATAATGGATACGGACGTTTTGTTCAAAGAAACAGGCAGGAGGCTAAGGGGGTAGAACACATGGAACAACATGCATTTTGTTTGTGTCAATTTTTGAGAAGTCACAGGAGGGGCATGTTGATGCTGGCTAAGAGGCAGCATTCTCACTGCTGACTGACTGGTACTGTTATTGGGTTGGGACAAGTCTCACTATACCTATGTCTGAGGAGCTAGGATACCTGCACCGTACTCCTTTTCACAATAAACTTGGCCGAGTGCCTTTGCCTCCAAATGGAGCCTGGATCTTTCTTAGCAGCAACCCTGAGCTGTGCTGCATGGATAAGCCGCAGGCTCTGCCAGTGTTGCTGGCATCAGAACTCCAGAAAGAGCCACCCTGAACAGCCATAATAACGCTCTGTGGCGCTAGCAGCAATTCTAATGGCACTGCAGTCGCTGCAGGAAGCAAAATTATCAATCACAGCAGCACCTGGGAACTCTGGTGTAAATCAGGACACAACTGTGCTATCGGGGTGCACATATGGAGCTAAGCATCACCCCTTAGTGTTGGTATCCTTCCAAGCCCTGAGAAATAGGGACACTCTATAATAGCTATTAAAGAGAGAGGTGACTGCACACAGAGAGTCTAAGGGACTTGATCAAGGTAACACAGGAAGATTGTGACGGGCAGAGAACTGAACACAGGTCTCCTGAGCACGAAGCCAGACATTCACACAGGAAGAAAAAGTCCCTACTCAAAAATATTTCACTCTAAAAACACAAGACAGATGACGTGATTTATCTCCACTGCACATAGAGGCAAGTGAGCACCAGAGAGAATGAAGCTGAACTTTTGAAAGGAAACCCAGCCTGAGCCTGAAATGCAAGGAGAGCTCTGCTCACGTTTCTCTACTACAAAGCTATCTCGGACAAAATACTCACAGAGCATGAACTGCCTCATCCACCCTCCCTCAGCCCCAGCCCCTCCCACTGGCAAGAACAGCATGTCACAGAGATCAGGTACAGGCAGGAAGGACTTTGGGAACTGCACCCACCTTCCAGTGGTTCAGCCCACTGCCACAAGGGGAACCTGCAGCCACTAACAGCAGATAGACCCAGATGCAGAGCCAGACCTCTAGTACCTGCTGTTCCTTCCTGAGCCCTTCTACTCACACCTCTAGTCAAGGCATAAGATGGGCAAGATAGGGAGGAAGCACACTGAGACCTTAGCTGTGGGAAGAGCAGCTCCACTGTTAAGTCCCTCAACCTGCTTTCCCTGGGAGGGGCCACGGAGGGGACAGTCTTTCACAGAAGAGCCAGGATTATTGGGGCAGATACAGGCAGTCTCCGGGTTACGTACAAGATAGGGACTGTAGGTTTGTTCTTAAGTTGAATTTATATGTAAGTCGGAACTGGTACATATTGTAGGGGAAAGTTTTATATTAAGCAATAACACTTTGTTTTTGGCTTGTGTACCTCACTATTTTAAAATAAAGCACATAAAAAGATGTTCATTAATATTTTTCCATGCTAGCATCTACTGAGTTGGACCATGACAGCGTTGGAAAGGGAAGAATTTCTAGATTTCATGAAGGTATACTTTATTCATTCAACAGTCTCAGTGTTCTAGAAAAAAAGAGACCCCCATTCCAAGGAGTTTAGATACTATGGTGATATTCTTGGGATAGAGCCCAGAAAGGCAGTCCAGATGAGAAAATATTCACACAACATTTCTCAAAATATTCAAATATTTGTCCATTTCCAAGCAATTGCTAAATTGGTGCTGAAGTCAGACTGAATGCAACCATTTTGCATTTTGACAGCTGCAGAGCAACAGTCTAGGGAACACATGCTCTTTGCTTTGCTCTTCAACCTGGGCGGTGGGGGACGGACCCCTTGGGCACCAGGGGGACTACATTTCCTAGGCTGCCTCAGGCGCAGGCTACCCCTTGTTAGCGTGAGAGCTGCAGGTTGAGCGTCTTGGTTGCAGATGAGCAGAGAGAAAACATTGAAGGGAGAGAGAAAGAAAGAAGGGGGGCTAGCGGAGAAGCCTTTGGCAGGCGAATTATGCATGCACTAGGGGAGCGCTGAGAGAAAGGCGG